CTCACGGAATTGACCCAAGACCTTCCCTTCGTTGGATGACTCGGAGTTTGAATCGGTCGCGTCGTTTGGTGGGACCCACCGGGGCCGATCGGGCCGTTGCGCCGAAACCTGTCACAGTGAGGTGAAGAAGACCCTTTTCTGCGACCGGTCTCCCACAACTTGCTAAGAAGGATTGGATCGCTTAAGGTGATTCTTGGACCCCTGGTAAGTGGATGTTCTGGACACCCCGGGGCCCCTCCAAGTTCGGCAGACATGGATACTGATTAAACATGTTGCACCTGATACATGTGGCCGGTCGGGTGCAAGTTACTTCCATGATCTTCCATAGAGTGTTGAGCGGAAATACTTCCCACTGTTTGCATTTCCAACACGTCCAGCCCTTCAGGGTGGCACAGCTCCGAGTGAAGGGAAGCCCAGTGCTGGGTTTGGGTATGCTTACCGCTTTTCTTACAGTCACTTACAGTGATCCGTTTTTACAGCAGCTGTAGCGAGAGGTCTTATGCATGGCTCCCATTGTTCAAATAAGCTTCCTCTCACTTGTTTCCATATGTTTTCCGGTTCGTTTGGAACCTCGGAACCTCGTTTGGGCACTGACGGTCATACAGAGCCATGACGGGTCAAAAACCCAAGCCATACATGCAGGCGTGCGCCTCTTTTTGGCCCAAGGGGAACGACCAACATTCGGAACCGAAAGACGGTCACACGGTCACACACGACGTACATATGCCGTCTTGACCGAGAAGTAAAAGGCCTTCTCCCAACTTAGCCTTTGACATCTCACAAATTTTCACAACATCTCTTCAAACAGAAGACGAACGTGGGTCTATATACTCAAAAATGACCATGCGTTTGACCTCGTTTTCCAGCTGCAGAAGAGCTCTGTAGAATCTCTTACAGTCGTATTTCATTCTCAGGATTTTACCACCAATAACCCCCGGCAAATTCCGTCCTTGGCCGGTCTTTGTATTGGCCGCCGGTGTGTTTTTACGGCGCACCACCGGGCGCACCTCGCCTTTGAGGAGCCGTCGTCGAGCGCACAGATCAAGGAGGGTGACTTGGTGAAGGCGAGGGTGTTTGCATCGACGGACCTCGACACCGATCACGTGCCTATAGGTGTAAGAACACTAGTACCGGTGGGGGGGTATCGCAAGCATGGGCAAAAATGTGCAAGCACCTGGTGTTGGTTTAGATAGGAAAGGGGACTAACATCGTGCTGTTTTTGTGACTGTGGTGCAAGCTATGCAATATAGGATGCAGCAATGTATGTTCAATGTTCACTGTTGAGCGATTTGCTTTTGCATGGTGAGTGGCCCAGAAATGCAACAGTGCACAAGAATCAATGGCATGGTGGATGGGCCCAGAGAAGCTGTTCAACCACAATATACTACAGTACAGGCTTTGGGAGACATTCTAGCGCGGTGCCTAGTAAGCTTTTGTTCGTGCTGCCGTTCATGCGTAGTAATTAATCTATTTTCACAACTGGAATCACAGCTGTACAACCCGTACCACTTTTGGAGATTCCTTCGATCAAAGGTCAGCTGAAAGGTCGATGTCCAAGTCGAGTCGTGGCAGTTGCATCGTTTTTCAGGTGGAGAACTTGGAAGTGCACAAGGAGATGACCCAGTTGATCCAAGGGCTGTGAGCACGAGCAGTAGATAACGGGTTGAGGGTTTTGAGGCCCCTCCAGTCAGTAGATGAGTGGATCTTCTTTGCATCCCCGTCCCTATCCTCCGAGTTCAGCACCGGAACTGCTACATGTGGGGGGATTCCTTTGGCAGACTTTGAGCCATGCCCATCCACCAGCCACCCCCTCTTTGGCCTTCTTAGGCGCCAGTCCAACCGCCCGGCCACGCCGCTCATGTTAGGAGTACAACGGCTTGCAGGGTCGCGTGGTCGGCCGGATGTCAGGGCGCCCAGAAGATGACACGACTGTGATCTCCCTGACCTGCCTGGCCTGCCTACGCAGGAGGGACCGAGTGTTTTCGGGGGAAAGCTTTGGCGATGTTCCCCACTCATCGAATGCGAACCTTTCGCATGGCCGGCCTAAGCCGGCCAAGTGGCCTGTTGGGCAGGCATGCAGGGGGAACATGGGTGGAGCACTGGGAATGGGACAGAGATGCGCCAAGATGACAGAGAGCTGCATTCCAAGATTAAGATCTACCATGGTATAATCCATCTATACAGTTACCGGTCAGGGTGGCCAAACCATGCCAGAAACCCTCCTTCTCCGCGGTGGTGCAGGATGTTTTCTTCCACAGATCTTCCACTGTCAGAAGGTTTGCATAGGCGACACCGAAGAGATCGGTCGACCGGGCTCAGGGCGGCTGATGGCGACATCAAGTACCTCGGCTGCTGACTTCGGCAGAGAGGGCAGAGAACGGTGCTGTCGATGATCCAAGAGATCCAAGAGGATGGACATCCCCAAGGGATTTTGGCCTCCTCAATGCGTTTTGGGTTCTGGAAATGGCTGAAGACTCTTGGATAGGATGGGCAGATGTGCAGATTGGATTTGGGACACCGTCTGAACATGTCTGAACCGTTCAGGAACAGGCATAGTAGAGTTCACTCCCATGATGTTGGCTTATTTGAGTTCGTCTACCCACGTGTCGAAGACTTTCCTTCAATGTATCTATAATATATGTATGAATATGATGATATCAATATGCTTGATCAGGATCTGTTTTTTTTAAATATTTTTACACCTCCATCGACTCAGACCCGTATACAAAAGCAGGTTAAAACCTGTAGGCTAAGCTTCCCCCATCTTCCCCAGCCCTCCACGGCATGTGCCGTGCACCGATCCATCGAGCCGATCCCCAGGCACCGAGTGCAGCTCCAAATTGGCAGCGAGACCAAGGCGAGAACCGAGAACCTAAGCAGAAAGAGAACAGATCATTGGCAGGTGTTCCCTGCTGATGTTGTTTGTTGACGTTTTGTTTCGATGTGCTCTTTGTTTTCAGATATATGTTCCCTGCTGTTTTTTCGCCAGTCCATGTTACAGATCCCAGATCGTGGACCGTCCGTGGACCGTGGCCGTTTCCGTATGTATATGGCTTGCTGGTCCACCTTTATCCGAGGAGCAACTTAATCTAATTAACACTGGACACGAGTCGAGGTTCTTCGTTTGAGCACACTGGTGGGGGAAAAGGGCATCAGAAGCTCAGCCCCAAAAAGAACACGTTGAATCAACAGCATCATGGAGTCACCCTTCAACACGAGATCAAACCATCACTTTGTTACACTTCGTCCGGCCATGAAGGGCCCTTGCCAGACAAGCACAGGGCGGAACATGCAACCAATCAAGGGCTCAAAGGAACCGAACTTCCAGGTGTTGGCCATCCGGGAGCGCAATCTCCGCCGCGAGCCCCTGGAATCCGGGTTGGGTCCGGGTCCGGATAGGTCGCGGTGAAACAGAGAGGTCCGCCCCAAAATCAGAGGCAGTTGTTTGGAAGGTCACCCAAAAAATTGGTTCTTTAAAACATTATCCAATTACTGTACTACAATACAAGTTCATTATTGACGAATCCATAATGAAGAGTTTGCTGCGCAAGCTATTCACCTGGGTATAGATGTTCGTAGTTTGTGACATCGATGTTGCCGAAGAAGGGCTGGTGTGTCGCAGCGCAGTTGGGCAGCGCAGTGGGTTGGTCGTTTGGTTGGTGGTTTGATGATGTTTGATGTATATAAGTAAAGTCCTCCTCAGTCACGTTGCTAGTATAAGGAGGGATGTGCTCGAAGTCAGACTCTTGAGGTTCTTTCTGAGTCCTGCCTTTTGACTGAAAGTTGAAGAGATGAAGATTGAAGGACTTTAGCCAAATTCCTGATTTTATGTATAGATCATGATAGATCGATATACTATTACAATATTCAATATGTTCATATGCCACAAGCTATTCCACTTGTACACCGGCACGTTGATTCTTTGCGCGTCGCGGATTCACTTTGTTTCGAACTGGGAGTAGTTGAATCCAACTTCGCAGAACCACCCCGCCAGAGCGATGATATAGTCCCCACGAGATTTGGTGTGTCCCACTTGGATGGAAAAGGTTCCTTCGCTTTTGCTTGAAGCATGGGCACCTGCATGGACCATCTATCGGCCACCCAGTGGAAGAAGAAGGACGACCGTTTTTCAGACCCGAAAAAAAGGCATTGGGAAGTGAGTGGAGGCTCTTCGGACACCGCTTGCAGAATGATGAATCCGAACACTTCCATGCGCAGGTGAACGCAAACTGAGTATACCCAGACACTCCATGTCTGTCATATATGCCGACATTGGGGTGGTTTCGTGGGTCAATGTAGGCATGCACATATACATACACGGAGTGTCTGGGGTAAACAAACAAAAGAGGAGGCACGCCCAGCTTTGAGGCCCGTGTGCTGCGAGATGAGAATCATCTCTCCAGGCCGACGGGGCCGAGGGAGGGGGCCGAGGGACGATGATGAGAGTGGAGTTTCTGGACCATGAATCTCTTCCGCATCAACTCCAAGTTGGGTACAGATTGAGTGGACTCTGGATGAACAAGACCCCCAATGTGTGACGAGGGTTTTTACAATCCAAATGAGTGGACTTGATTGGTCAAAGAGTCTACAGTAGCCATGCCTTCGCCGCTGGTGTTTTGCCAGGCTATGCGGCAGGAAAGAACATGCGCCCGCCGGCCCACCGAGAGCCAAAAAAGTGACTTTCTTGTGCGCTTTTTGCAGCTCGTCTGGCAGCTTTCGACAGTCCTTGTGTGGTGGGGAACGTGGTTCCAGAGTTCTGGGCCGGTTTGAACATGTTTCCACCAAATTTCCCGAAAACTCTTCAATCGTGTGGAGTTCCTGGAGAGCGGATAGGCCAAGTCAGCGGCTCCCAGCGAACTGCCCAGCCAAATCCAGGTCGACCCTTTTTCACTGGTGCTGCTGGTGCTGAATTCTTCCACACACAGCCGACCGTGGAACTGTGTCTTTTTCACCGTGCCTTTGGTTCAGCATCAGTTAGCCCGCCCAGTTTTTGGCCAAGCATGGGTGCTAACAGCTCCGTGTCAAATGGTGGACCGGCCATCACGGAGGAGCAGTGGGGCCGCATGCAGGAGGTGTGGTCGAAGATTTGCACGAATGAGCAGTTCAAGCCGAAGTGCATCATTCAGTTCCTGTGCAAACACTCCAAGACCATGAGGTGCCACAGGGTCATGTGATATGTTTCTGAGATAGGGACGAAGGTATCATCTAAATTGAACAAAGTCGTGCAAGCTTTTGTCGGAGTGGTTCCTATAATATATGCTTTACTGCAAGTGCTGCAGCCACTCAAGCGGATGTGAACATAGGTATGGCGAAGTGGATCGCGTGGTGGGTTCCAATGCCTTTGTCAAGATCGCTGACGAGGTCTTTGTAATGCTGGAGAAGGCCAATGCGATTTGGTGCTTTGTGCCTGACGAGCACTTGTCGCGAGCGAAGGTTATGGTGAGGCCGGGAGTTGGCAAAGGGAGGTGAATGGTCGTGTTAGATTTCAGGGTTTGGGGGCTGACTTTGACATGTTTTACAGAAGCTGGAGACCCTTTTAGCCGGATGAAGCTGAAGCGAAAGGTTATGAGAGGCTGGCCATCAGGAATGTTTCTGGAAGAGTTTGGCAGGTCTGGAAAGAAGTAGCCTTCAGATAGCGTGGTTGGCTAGGTGTCGTACGCACGCCACGCGAGGAAGTGAGACACAGAGAGAGAGGGGGGGGTTCGCAGCTGTGGCTTGCCAGGGCATCCATGAATACGGCGCAGATCCTCAGCCGGATGAGTTCCAGGGTGGAAACGTGAAACATCTCAATGAAGAAGTGACACGGTGACACTTCAGGATTCAATTCAGAGTACATGTTAAACTTAGACCTGGATAGAGTTCAAAGGTGAACGATTTGGATCTATATAGGATCACTAGTAATTAGCAAAGGGCATCGCTACTAGTAACAAGAGCATCGCCATCGCTGTTAGTGGCTAATGTGCTGCTAGTAACAAGAAGCTACTATATAGGTCTCCTGCGCTCTCGTGAGGATTGCACAACTCACCTCAGTCTCCGGTGTGAAAGTGATCGTCACGGCAGCGGCTGCAGAGGGTCTTTTCGGTGCAGCCTCTGTCACCAGTGCTCCGGAGACACGATTTTCTGGTGGTGTTCTTTTTTTGGTTGTCGAAGGTCAGGCGCACATGGGCGCACACATGGTCACAGTGTGGTTGTTCACTCATCATCTTAAGCCCAAGAAGTCAAGAGATAACAGTGATGAGCATTGGAACATATGAGGCACAAGAGAGAGAGAGAGAGAGAGAGAAACAAACAGTAACAAGAAAGGGTAAGCATGCATATGGCTGAACAAATCTCTAGCTTCAGAGGAAAAGCTGGAAGATGCACCCCTGGGCATGGGTTCAGGTCCAACACTCCCATAACCAATGGGTTCCAAAGGGGGTTTGGTCTATTTCAGTCTATGTACGTGCTGTCTTGCAGGGGTTCGAACTGGGAGGTTCTTCGCATGTGGTGTGGTGCTTCAGAGATCTGCCGCGCCCAGGTGGGCTGGCGACTCTGGGGGACGGCTCTGTCGCCACTGGGGGCTGTGGGATGGTCGGTGGGATCCTGGTTGTGGCTGCAGCACCATCAGCGCTCACGGCTCACACCATCTACCAGCTTTGTGACCAAGCTGAGAGAGGTTTGTAAACATATTTTTTTAATACTGTGCCATACTGTGCCTTTCTACTTGTTTGATGGGGCTGTGAGCCCCTCCCCCCCAAAAAAAAAATAACACACCATTTTAATACAGCAGAGAATGCCACAATCCACTGGTCCTGAGGGTCCTGGAAAGTCGAAACCTATATATTCATCTCCACCCTGCAGCCCACAATCTTAGCCTTAGCACAGATACTTTCTGCTTTCTACATCTAACAATCACCCCTAGAACAACCCAACAGAGCGTGTACTCCCTGAAGCTCACATAGAAATGGAACATGGCCCTTGGAAAGACCATTCTCCTCTACAAACAGGGGGGTGCCATCCACTTCCATGCGAGTTCCAGGGATTGTTCACCTGGTTCCCAAGGTGATGCTATGGAGAACAACTCCATCACCCCCACCGCCGTGGCGCTGGGTGGTACTTTGGGCGCCCTCGGCGGGTCCACTGTGGGCGTCGTCATGGTGGCGGAGAGCGGCGCGGTGGCGGGGCTGTCGGCCTCAGGGATCACCAGCGGATTGGCGGCCTTGGGAGGCGGACCCGACGGGTGGAAGTGGAAAACATATGGCTGTGGGTCAATACCTGGAGCCCCAAACCAGGCGTAGGGGTTGTCCTCCCAGGTAGTCTGTTACATGTTCGGTGGTCAACCAGGATGTCCTGGTTTTGACCCACAGCCAGATGGAGCAAGTGCAAGAGGCGGATGTCACGGGTTGAGAAGCTTTGGATTGGAGACGATTTACGCCAATCTCTGTGAGTTTGGGTGGACGATGGAGAATTTAGGAATCTTCAACATGTGAATCAGTGAATCAATATTTGGTTCGCCATGCTTGCACACATTCCCCGCAAGCGACCACTTGGACTGACAAACAAGTCTGAGAGCAACCCAACCACGTGACCCCCATCGGGCAAAGCAGCCGCAGTATACTAAAGCGCCCCGATTTGCAGAGACCCAGAAGAATCGCCAATCTTTCAACCTCGGACTTTTTGGTTGTTTTTTCGTTTACAGTTTCTGGAGACCTCTACAGCTTTGGTAGAAGCCTTTCCCCTACAGGTCAACGCCTCATGTTGCTGGACCTTGCTTTGGCAATCTAAAAAAACATCTAAAAGCAAGAACTCATGAGGGTTTGCAGGCTTTCAGGACCTCAGCTGGTTTGGATCTGGCTGTCCTAGACCTGTAGGTGGCACCGTCGCCTCGGGCGGCTTGGGGATGTTGGGCGGCGTCGCCGCCGTGGCGGGCGTGGCCTCGCTGGGGGCCTTGGCGGTGGGCGGAGTCGCGTGGATCGTCTCTCACGAGCTGGTGCAAGGGAAGCTCAAGGAGCAGAGGATCCAGAAGCTCGGCCAGGTTGATCATGACAGACGTTTGATCGAATCTGTGAGATGAGATATTGTGTTTTAACATAAGATATACCGCCACCCCCCCAAAAAATAACACCCGTCATGTGCATGTCTTTCTAATTTTCTAGGATGCCAGGACCTGGTTTCTGGAGTCAGCTCCTACCCCTTGGAGATGCGTGTGCTGTCCATGAAATTTTATTTATATAAACATCCAAGCAAGAGGTTCCAAGAATCGATGCGGGTGCTCTTCGGAGGTTCACAGTGGGGTCCTGTCCATTACAGTGGTTTCAGAGGTGAGTTCGATGGCACTGGCACCCCAAGATGTCTCTCAACAAAAGCGGGGTCCATCTAAACCACCGAGATTGGGGTAACTTGTGCCATCTACTCTCAAAGCACTGTGACATGTTTCTGTTTCTTGCAGTCCTGGAAGGCGAAAGATGACCGATCAATCCGAGGGGTTTGGGAGCAAGTCCGCTTAGAGAGCGCAAGCTCTCTCTCTTCTGAGTGGTTTTGGGGGGGTCCCACTGCCACGGTGAGTGCTGAACTGCCACGCATGAGCCGTTCAGCGCCTTGGATTGTCTTTTTTTTGCGGCTCAGCGCTTTTCTCCCGTGTTTGGATCATGGGTGGATCTCAAGACTTGGATTGAGGCAACACTCCGTTTCTTTTTGTATTGGCACATGCGGGCGCAAATGGTGTTGTAGTTTGCATGTTATGCTGCGCGTCCTGAACCAGATTCTTCTTCATGAGCGAATGCATGTGCAAAAAGGATCAATCAGACATTCTTGGGAACTGAGTGTGTATAGGCATGACGTGTGTTCATGCCAGCAGCAACAGTGGCGAGTTCCAAGGATGTTGGATTTGGCGTGCCAGCACGGCTTCAAAAACCTTCTTGGGGACTAGGGACTTTGAGATCGGGCCCTCTGCCTGAGAGTATGCATGATTGAGCCAGCTTGTTTCCGTCTTCCACACAACTGCGCTGAACTAGTTTTACTATGTGTTACTCAATAACTTAATTACCTGTTAGACTTTCAATTGCACGTCACTAGCTGGTCAGAAGACACCAGTTTTTTTGGCCTTCCACATCGCCAGAGAACGCAGAGGAAAATCAGGCCACACATGACTCATGGGCAAGCCGAGTTTTACATGTGCCCTGCTGTTTCTTGAATTGGATGATGTTGGCTGTGATGTGCGCATGAACTCAGTTACTCAACAAATCAAATGATTCCGCATCCTAGTTGTTGCACCGTCGCGTGGGCAGGATCAAGGCATTGTACTCAGACTTGCTTGCCTATCATGGTTTGGACCACTCTTCGATAGCCGGATGTTTACCTTCTATATGAAACCTACATTACGCTTTGGATGCCTGGGCCTGACATGCTAAGCTGCTACAAACAGATGGACTTCTTGCACCCTGGCACCTTCAAGAGACTCCATACTTAGAACCTCTAAACACATGGGATCATGGGATTTGTGGTGGTAAGCCGCCTTTCACTGCGTTCATATTTTGTGTTTTGCTCCTTTAGCTTCAATTTGGGGGGCCTCATCTTGCAACACACTGACATCATTCCCAACCCTCGCCAGACCTCCAAGACCGCCAAGACCACGCCACCACACGCCACCACTGGCCACCACTCGCAAACGTGTGATGCTCCGGCCACCCGGTCCGCTCACTTGGCACCTGGCGCGGACTGCGACGCCAGCGGCGTGGGAGGTCCCATCTGTGGGACACCCCAGTCCAGAGGATCGAACAGAGAGGTCAAACGAAGTGGGGTGTGCCACGGAGAGGTCACCGGCCACAAGTGCACCATGCATATATTTTTGAGTATAATGTTAGATCTTGAATGATCTTGGTTAGTAAACTACAGCATTATAGAGGACCCTATATTACTAATCAGCGTCCAACATTATCCATATGCACTTTGGATTTTTTTTGCCACAGGATGTGACGAGATCCAGTTGTCGTTTTCTTCGGGTGTCGCGCGCCCACGGCGTTCGCCTGGCCAAGTCACAGAGGTTGGTAGCGCGTCTCGGGCCTCGAGCAGGCGCGTCTCGGGGCTGGCTGGCACGGTGTTGAGGTCGCGGGTGAGTGGCCGGGCGGTCCTCAAAGCATCAAACCTGGGGGGAACTTCGGAGAGGAGACCTCCACTACAATGCTTTCGGTTCCTGGAGGCCACTGTCATAATACCAGCGCAGGAAGCAGCTGTGTACACCAGAAAGCAGTTGCCGGAAGCACTCTGATCCAAACGACTTGCCAGAAGGACTGCTGTGGGCCAGCACGTCAGCCGTGTGTCGGCTGCGTCGGGGTGCTAAGGCGCTTCAGGTGCTTCACTTCTTGGACAACTGTGGTCCCTTTTTGTTCTTGGTATATGCTCCCCGACATATCCATGGAAGTGGAAGAACACCTGTTTTGGTTTGAGGATTTCAGGGTCATCACGGCTCATCCTTCCGGAGTGTAATTATATACTTTAAGATCATATGTGTTTACATATTTGTGGAGACACTTTCGACTGGTTGTGGAGACGTGCAGCTGTTGCAGTGGGGATGTTTGTAAGCCTCCCTGGATGTAGTTGCCGCAAGAAAGTTATTCCTGTTTTAGTTTTGGAAGCCTGGGTTCCGCACTTTTATACTTTAATACAGTGAGTTGTACGATTGAGATCCTCAGAAACCTGACATGTTTGCCATCAACCCCCCTCTCAAGCCTTAGGCTCCGAAGTCTTCTGGCCAGCGGCCTGGCTTTGCTCCTCAGGCGGGGTCGATGAGGGGTTCAGCACTTCGCTCAGGCTGTTTTACCAGATTTTGGTTGTAGTGGACAACATGGTGACCAACTCCATGTGGTAGCTTTTATTAGGAATTGAGGCGTTTTCGGAAGGACGCACAGATGCTGATGGCGACCATATGCGACCATACATTTGACTCGCTGGACGTTGGACGGATTCAGAAAGGGTTCGTGCACCTGTGGCCAGCGGCCATCATTCATGAAGGGGTCCATTCAAAAGATTCGCCTATAAGACAGCATGGTCTCACGGCACTCATCCATGACCCAGGTACTTTTGGAGGCTGATGTCCCTACAGGTTCCTTTCGCAGCTGCTTGTTTCGCAGCCTTTGGGGCAGCCTGGGGGATTCGCACACCGCTGTGTTCGCTGTGTTTCTCCGCCCCGACACGAAGACCCAGCGCCGTTGCTGGCGGGTGTGAAACGAGCTGCGCCCACGCGGAGGTCGCCGTCGAGACGAAGGAAGCTGGAGATTCAGTGCTCAGAGGGGGGGTCCGGCGGTGCTGGTGTGACCTGCGTTGGGTCCCGGTGTGACCTGTGTTGGGGTCCAAGAGTGTCCCCGGTTTCTTTGGTTTTGACGAAGAAGCGTCAAGGGGGCAGCGGCTTTTTATGACCAAATCCTGGAGCTGCAAGTGGTCCAAACGCGGTCCATGCTGTTTGCATAGGTACTCAAGGCCGAGCTGTGCCGGACCCTAAGCTGCTCCTTTGCCGTTCGTGGATGATGGGAAGATTGATGGCCGCAGCAGCAGGTGAGACCGATGAATAGCATGATGAAACCGATGAAGCATTCTGAATTTCTCAGACAGCTGCCAGCAACCGCCACAAGTTGAACACCGGGATGATGATGTAAGAACTTCCTCATCAGGTCCTCATGTAAGCCACAGAGTCACAGAGTCATTTGGCCCAGTGCTTGGGGGAAGACGGTGTTCCTTGTACTGGGTAATGTACCGATACGGACGATGTACCGATACGCCCGAGGCTCCGTCAGCTTCCTACGCCTACAGCGCCAGAGGCTCAGAGGAGTCGGATATGGATGGATATGAGATATGGATAAGATATTGATAGGATATTGATATCTGCTCAGCAATTGCTAGATTGCTAGATGATGCTTCAGCATGTTTCAGCATTCTTTCAGCCAAAAAGGCAGCTTTCCAGGATCACTCTTAGTGTTGGAAATGCTTCGTCCAGCCAACTTGCAACACTCACATACCATGCAATCTTTGTGTCCAAAGAGTTCGGTAGCTTCGCTTGGCCTTTCCTGAAGCCTTTGGCTACAAGCTCCAGACTCCAGAGCAGAGCGGCTCCACACGCTGCTGCACGGAACCCACCGATGCACTGAATTCTGGACCACCTACACTGCGGAACCTTCAGATACTGTTGATAGGTCAGAGCAACATGTGACTCCACACGTTTTGGCCACGAATCCACCCAGACATCTCAGAAACATCGAATAGTGGAACAACCTGTATGACTTTTATGTCGGGTTGTTGCTGTTCCCGGTTAAACGTATATAAGTTATATAAGGAACACTTACAGGCATTGCGCAGATTGCGTGCCATCAGGGCACGGGGGCTTTCCGGGGTAGCTGCCCGCGACATTTCATGAGAGCACAGAGACTGCAATCTAAGAGATCTAAGAGGCATGATGGGGCGAAATGCAACACACACAAGCGATTTACCCCGAGAACACGTGCCCAGTTCAATTAGTGTCATTTCTTGTATTGGAGTCTGGCTGCGTTAGACCCAAGATCATCTCCTATTGATTCACATCCAGCCATTACCACTAAGAGCTTTCATTTTGTCTTCGCATTTTCTGTGGCTGGAAGGCTGGGGTACAAACTCATTGAACAGTTGCAGGTGTTTGGGAGGGAACTAGTCAGCTGTTCATCCATGTTCATCCAAATGCCAACCTTCAAGAGGTGTAGCAGCCGTTCCTCAAATTCATAGTTTCAAGACCCTTTAAACATCTTGAAAAGATGTCTTCGCCCCACAATAGCTCGAAGGAGCATGGCAGCCAAAAGGTTCTGGTCGGAACAATGGAGAAGCCACTTCTCGTGAAATGCTCAACACTCGTACCCGTTGGCCCCTTGAATGGGTGTGTGTGTGTGTGCTAAAAGTGTGCAGTGTGCTAAAATAGGGAGACCTCCCCAAGACTGGAAGAAGAGACAATAGACCAATTACCCATTGGTTGGGAGACTCCCCATTGGAAATGCACGCCCAAATGGATTGAATGATCGAAATCAGACTCTGGGGTTTTCCAGGCCGATGAAGCGAAAGAGATCCACGCCAGAGGTGGAGGCACCACCAAGGCGCGATCGCCATGACCTCCCTTTGCGATCCTTTCTGCTCCGCAGTCGGAGCCATTTGGGTTGTTCATGGCCTTGAAGAATTCAGCCATCAGAGTGATAGACACGGGGGCCTTGCACGTGTTTCCATCCATTTTCATCTGAAAGTTGCCGCACGAGGCCGAAGAAGAAGGGCTTGAAAGGAAAGAGAGGGAAAGCTCTTGAAGAAGTGGAAGAACCAGCTTCTGCAGAACCTTTAACCTCGATCCTTGACCAGAGCAGCGCAGAGTGTAGCCATCAGTCTTGTCGACAAGTCCCACACCCAGTGTCGTTCTGTTTGATGGTGCCCATTTTGCGGGCCTTTTTTGGTCACCGTATGAATCCCGGCGTTCATCGCTTGAATCCAAATACGTTGCTATTGACCGATTCGAGCGGCTAGCACGGTCAATACCGGCAACACCGCTGTCCGACAGACGACTCTCGGGTCAAGCCCCCGACGGTCGTTCAACCCAGCGTGGCTTTGGTTCAAACAAGGCCGCTTGAATCAAACATTCAATAATTCAATGATTCAACGGAACGAATTTCAGGCAATTTCACCGCGTTTGGTTGTATGTACATCCTTTCAGACAGGTTCACGCAAATTGCATGCGCTTTTGGATGTTCTACTGGGCGCAGACGACGCATGTTCATGCCTGCCAAAGGGTGCACCATGGTGCACCGCAATTGTTCCAATGCACACTTCCCAGTCAACGATGTTCCATTCAAATTCTTTAGCACCAAGGATGTGAATAGCAACATGTCTCACGATTATTGCCATGATTGGCCAAGCATGTGAATAGTTACATGATTGGATTGCTCCACCGGTCCAACCGGTCAAACCGGTCAACGGACGGAACGCTACACCGAACGAAGCACGCAACGCACCCAGGACGCCACGCAAAGGCCTCAAGAAGAGGCCGAGGGCCTCGGTTAGGTGCCAGTTCCTTCGTTCTCGGTTGGTGCCGTATAGAGACGGTTGGTTGGTTTCCACGTGATTGGTGATTGGTGGGAAAGATGACACAAAAGAGATTAACGGCGGCTTTGAAGCACAAAGTCTTGAATGCATCGGTTTTATGGGCTGCAAGTATCTACGTAGGAGCCCCTGGAGATGTTTGCTTAGTCTTTTGAACTTGCTTGCTTGCTGCAGCCTGCCAACTTTGCTCAAGAAGCCTGAAAAAAGAAAAAAAACACCCTGGAGGTGTTTGACGGAGAAACATGTTTGTCAATAGGGATGGGGTCCCAGTATAGTCGCTATACAGGTACATGCCATATACTTTTGGCTCAAGTGCCCAACCAGGTAAAAAGGAGCTTTAGCGCGCGAGCTTCATGTTGAACTAAGGGCTAGAACGGGGCCAGGGCACACCTTTCCATCCGTTCGCAGGTTATCAGCCGTATCCAGACTCCTTTGAGCTGGGTACGAGCTGCGGCCTTACACAACACCATCTAAACGCACACGCATCGGATAGATCAGTTACCCTCAGTCACTGAAGATGGACCAATCCGACGCCAGCACTGCATCTTTTGGGGCAGCTGCTGCGGCCGCAGATCGGATGAGTGCATCCCACAACTCTAGTCCAGGTACGATCGAAGTGGAGACTCTGACAGCGGTGAGAGAAGATGCGACAGGTAGAGCACGAAGTCGTTCCCCGTCAGCGCACTCGACACCACCGGGGGGGGGACACCGAGATCAGGCCGTAGCCCTAGGGAGACAAGGAGGAGGACTGACACCGGAGCTGTGAGAGTGTTAGCATTGCAGGATGGGTCAGCTGTACCAGTGCCGTCGGACAGCGAAGCTGGAGATGGAGCAAGGGCAAGCACTGACAACCTACAACTAGCACGGGCCGATGGAGACCTGAATGCGAAGTGTGCGCAACTACTTGCCGAAGTGCATATGTTGAACCACCAAAACGCATGGATGGTCGAATGTGAGCAGAGACAGAACCAGATTATACAACACGAGACCGAAGTCCACGAAGTAGTGATGGCACACCTCGAAGAATGTTATGTCGAAGGATATGGAAATCAACGAAGAATCTCCCAGCTTACAGAATCCAGAGACTGTTTGCTCTCAGCAGCACACGATCTGCAATACCAGATGGACACTGATCGTGTGGCAATGCGGGATCGTCTCACCCAGTTAGGGGAGTACGCTGATCGCAACAGCGCAGAGATGGTTAGTCAAGTTGTGAACATCGGCACGGAAGAGATCCAGGCTATATCGGCGGAAAGAGATCGAGCCGTAACCGAGGTCATGACTACAATCGCAGATGCTGAGAACGTCAAGGATCTGTGTAGACAGGAGTTGGTTGGACTACAAAGGCAGAGTGCCAGAAACAAGCACGAATATGCTGAGGAAATGAAGATGAGGGAAGCAATGTATGCAAACAAGATCAAATGGTTATCAGAAGAGAATGAGGAGCTCAACAACCGATCTAATACTCAGGATAAGTTCATCTTGAGCATCAGAGAGCAATTGAAGAAGGCGAACGAGGAGTTGACTCAGACGAGGATTCAAGGATCCGATCGACCATTTCAACCATCTAGCGCCGAACTCAAGAAGGCCGAAGCCAAGGTGAACATGTTGGAAGAGGACATTCTACGTAAAGAGAGGATGCTGAAGCGTCTTCAGGAAGAATTGATCGAATCAAGCGCAAGTGAAGCACAATTGAAGGTCGCACTGAAGTTGAAACCACCAGACATGGGATCAGAACCCAGTGTGGAGAATGAGATGATGACCAAGCTTAGAGCGGAACTTGAACGTACTGAAAAGTTATTAAGGTCCGAGGAGAAAGAGGCAATTGAGTACTACGAAGGTATGATGCAGAACCAACAGGACATGATGGAATTCGAAACGCATGCATCACGGCTCAGAGATGAGAGGAATAAGTACCGGAAGAGGTACGAAGAGGAGCGCACAAGTGCAGAGAATGCAGCCGCAACCGAACATGGTGCCGCTTCATCCTCTAGCTCAGGTGGCTCCAAGATATCTCGGAAGGAAGACGAGAAGATCAACATCCCTGCATGGCCCAAGATACACGACTTGGAGGTTTGGAAATCCCAGGTTGTAGCGGCAGTCGTGACGGCATCGGGCGACGAGAAGCAAGAAGACTGGATCCAATGGCTCTCGGATGCCTTCAGATCACCATATGACCCATTTCTACTCGAGACATCAGGCGAAGCAAGATTCGCTAGCATAGACGCTAAGCTAGGTATCACCCTACACACGATCATCCACGCAGCAGGTGAGAGATCTCATGACGTACAACTGAAGGTGAGGCAGATGATGCAGAGACGTGCGAGAGGCACAACTCCTGGAATGGTCAAGGGACGAGAAATGTTAGCGTTGATCGTCGATAGTTTCCGGAGTGCCGACAACGTTGATGTGATGTATGCATCCAAGCACTTATTCGATCTAAAGTTCCCTGGGGATAATCAACTATCCAGATTCCTTGGACAGTGGGATGAGATCATATCAGGTATGGATGCGGATGACATGCTTCCTGACAAAGCACTTCGCAACCTGCTTTGGGATAAGATTAAGGATTCCAAAGTTATGGCGTTAGACTTGTCTGTGTACGACAACATGTTGGATAAGGATCCGGATAAGACCTACCAGAAGTTACGAGAGATCATGACGAAGTGGATACGGAAATCAATTGAGACCACAAACAAGAAAGAAAGG